ATGAGGGGGATAGGTTTGGATAGGTGTTAAATGGGGGATAAATGGTTTTTCTATTGGGAGATAAGCAGACAGGTGATGGCCCTCCCATTGTTTCAGCATGATGGCATTAAGAGGGCTATTTTTGGCAGTGGAACATGGTCACTCTTGGGTCATGCTATAGCCTGGAGCTGATCCTGTTTTGCAGGAGCAAAGGATGGCAGAAGGAAGTAAAGAAAAGAAATTGCAGAGAGCCGAAGGGGAGCGGGGCAGAAAGAGAGGCAAGTTGGAGGGGGTGAGTTTCCAGCTTTATTTTATTATTTTTCCATCACACATTGATGAATGAAAAAGAGGCATTTCCCCAGCCTTCGTTAATCCAGACTTTCAGCCTTGATGGAAGTGTTTGGGAATGCTGAATATTGTGGTCAAAAACATCTGGAAGGGGCCATCAGCTTCAGAAAAACTATATAAAACTTTCCAACCCTTATTCTATCGCAATTATTGCTTTCTCTGCATGTTTTCTTTTAGTTTAAAGTGGACATTCTTCATTGTTATACCATGATGTCGTTTTGTTTATTGCTTTGTGCTCTGGACTTTCTAATGGATAGCCTTTAAATAAACTTAATTCTATTATTTATAGTAAGCAAACAAATAAATGGAATCACATGGGAAAAAGGATGATAATCCCCCATCTTTCAAGTTTAGCAAGGCAGTGGCGTTTTATATCTCTCACACTGTCCTTCCTTCCATGACCACAAGATGGCATACGTGACTCAGTAACCAATTTTGTCTTCATAGCAACCTTGTAAGGGAGATGAAATGAGAAGGTAGCGAGTGCCAAAGATCACCTCCTGAGCTTCAGGCAAGCTTAAGTATGCTCCTGCTAGAATAGGAAGCTGTTTTTGAGTTGGAGAGCTGACTCTTCCAGAGATTTGTCCATCACAATCTCTTCTGGCTCCTGTAGCATTTCTTTACAACCAGTTCCAAACCTTCCACCAACAGGGGAGCTCCAAGGAATGGCTTCCTTCCCTCCCATGATTAATTGATTGATTATGTGCCATCAAATTGTTTTTGATTCCTAGCAACCACATAGATTTTCTCCATGATCTCTGTCCCCAACCTGGTTTTTCAGGTCTCCCAACGGTGCACTCATTGCCACTGTAATAGAATCCATTCACCTTGCTGCTGGCCGTCCTCTTCTCCTCTTTCCTTCCATCTTTCCCAGCAGCAGAGCCTTCTCCAGAGAGCCAGGTCTTCACATAATGTGTCCAAAGTAGGCTCATTTGAGCCTAGTCATTTGTGCCTCGAGTGAGCACTCTGGGTTGACTTGTTTGATGATTAATTGGTTTGTTTCCTTGGCTGTCCAGGGTATTCTCAGGAGTCTTCTCCAACACCAAAGTTCCAAGGTGTCAATACTCTTCCTATCCTAATTGTGAATTTGTATCAGCATTCATGTATATCACCAGAAAGAGCATACAGATGCATGAATAAAATACAGACAGGTACACTAGAAACTTTGAACAATACTAAGGGAGAGAAGAAACTGTCCAAGATTCAAGCAGCTTTCCTTCCCCACCTTCCAAACATGCTCACCTTGTCTCTGCCAATGTCTCTGGTAGCTGGTGGCTTGCTTCTGGCTTGAGATGAACCTTCAGCTCTTCCCCTACCCCATTAACTTGATTGCCCGTTCTTGCTCTGATATTCCTTGCACTAGCCTCTCCTGTCTCCTCTCCATCAGCTCTTGCTCATGAGTAGTCTTCCTGTTCCAAAAGGGGGAGGAAATGCCTGCCTTGCTAGCTTCAAATGTCCTTCTTTTCTTCTCTCCTGCCTGTGGCTCTTAAAGTTGGGGTCTTATATATGTTTCAGAGTTAACTCCCTCTTGACCTCCTCCTTCCCTCTGCCCTGTTCTCCCATTTTCTGACCTTTTGGGCTGGGATTGGCCAAACCCTGACCTGGATTCAGCAAGCCTGGGATGAAGAGCTTCTGACCTCTTTCTAATATCTGTACCTCCACCACTACTTGAGTACCAGAGTATCCACAACTATTCTTGGCCTGCTTTGGGTTCTAGCTGGCTTCAGGATACCCGGGGGTGGGGGGCATGCAAGTGACCTGTACACAAAGAAGGGTTGCTGGGGGTTCCTCATGTCAGAGTGAGGAGGCCATGTGCATGTGACCCTAAAAGGGGTGTACTGTGCAGCCTCAGTCTGCATGCAGGCAATATAGGACACATGAACGCACATGGGGGAGGTGGCCTGAAATGATGCATTCTGTGTCAATGGATATAGTGGCTCCAATTGGTTCTGCCACTGTTCTGTGGGGCCACCATCTCTTGTCTGGTCCCTAAGTTTTCTCCCACCCCTTAGCCTTCCGTTGGCTGTGAGGATAACCAAATCCCTAGCTCTGGCAGCCATTTTTCTTTTCAGTTAATGAACAAACCAGCTGTCCAGACAACTAGTCTACTTAAAGATGCTGACTAGCCTGTTCTTGGCTTTAAATGTATATTAGAAACTATAAATAAAAGAAGTGCATTGCAGGAACTCAGCTCTTGTGCTTCCTCTATGGGTGTCTTTTTCTTCTTTTATTATTTTTTAATGTTCTTGTAAACTTTTTCTTCTCATGCAGTTGATCTAAGAAGTCGTAGACACACCAGGCCCTGGGCTGGGCTAAGCTGGACCATTGCTGGTGGTCCCGCTGTATCCCTAAAGCTCAGTCATTCAGTGTGAAGGGTTGACATGCATGTATGTATTTGGGTTTCAAGAATAGTAGGCATGTAGCTGGGTGGGACAATGCAGCCCATCCTTTTCAGTGATGTTTTAGCTACCTCATGGCTGGGTCATCCCTTCCAAGGGGTCTATTCGGAGCAATGACAAATGGTCAGACATTTGCTATTGCCATTTCTCCTTGGTGTGCTGGAGGATTGACCACTCCAGCAGTTACAGAGGTCCAGTGGTCAACAGACACATGGAGAAAAAAGAACTGCAGAGCCTGCAGCGTGGAAATTGGTGGCTTTGGGTAGAATCCAGCAACTAGTTGCAGACCTTGGATTGTAACAAGATAAAGCTAAGTAGCACACAGCAGACCCATTCTGGCTGTGTTGCAAGGAGATCCTTTGGAGATAGCCTTGATTTAATCAAGGCTTCCCAGTGGCAATGGAATGAGATGAAAGCAGGGTTACATAACTGTATCACTTCAACCTTTCTCAGACTACAATGCACATGTATATCATTGTCTGTTTTTGCCGTTTTCCTTTCCCAGTCTCGCTCTCATACTCAGTGTAAAAGAAGCTACGTAAGACATCATCTCTATGGAAGAAAGAGTTAAGAACTCTCCTTCTCCCTCCTCTTGACCTTCATCCAACATGCAGAGCTGGGATAGATGCCTTAAGTTTAAAAGAAATCAGTAAAGACCTACTGCCATGGCCTACATGCAATGAACTTCCTGGGTGGTGGGATACTCAGTGGCCTAGGGGGGAAGCTGTATTTTTTATATATATATTGCCAGAGAAGTTTGTTGGAAATAATTTCTAAGAAAAACTCTTGGTGATCTTTTCTGACATTTGACTAAAGAGCAGACATGGCCATTATTCTTGTGAATTGAAAAGAGGAAGTGGTCAGCTTCTGGACTGATTCACAGGGTGACATGCATGTTGAGATGAAGCAACCAAAGTTCATTTTTTTACAGAACAGGCAGAAAACCTGAAACTGCTTAGAGGGGGCAAAAGTTTCTGCCTAAGAGGTGTGTCAAAGCAAAGCCTAACGCACGTATAGGCTGCAGCATCAAATTCAGGTCATTCTTCTTGTCAGTCACCTCCTCAATCATTCTTCTAGGCATTAGTTAAAATGAGATGCATCTGTGGAAATGTCTGAATACTAGAAATAACTACAGCTTTGCATACATGACTTTGAAGGCAGATGAATAGGGTGGATAATACTTTAGCACCTTTAAAAATGTTGCTCTTCCAAGTTCTGCAAATTTCCAGAGCAGGAGGGTCAAATAACACTAATTCTTTGTTCTTCCCTTTCCAGGTGTTTTTTTTTTTTTTTTTGACTAGAGAAGGACGCCCAGTCCTGGAGAAACTCTATCTCTACCCCTACCCAATGCCCAGATAAGATCCTGACACAATACACCTATCTGACTACCTCATTGAGGAAATTCCTAATTGATAAAGCTCCTATTAGAAATCATTACCAATCCAGTATAAACTGGTTTGATTCTGACTGTTTACATCAGTGTTGTCCAAACTTGGCCACTTTAAGATGAGTGGACTTATCTGACTACCTCATTGAGGAAATTCCTAATTGATAAAGCTCCTATTAGAAATCATTACCAATCCAGTATAAACTGGTTTGATTCTGACTGTTTACATCAGTGTTGTCCAAACTTGGCCACTTTAAGATGAGTGGACTTCAACTCCCAGAATCCCCCAGCCAGCCAGTATGGCTG